TTATCTACTTTTATTGGCTGGATCTTATGATTGTTTATTATTATAGTTCCTCTTTAACTTGTTCTTTCTTAAAGTCTGCATGAAATGGAAATTATGATTGACTTTTCATCCAAATTGCGACTTGTATCCGGGTGAAATAGCTTCGTGAGCGAGGAATTAAAAATGCAAGCAAGGATTCGATTTTGTCAACCAGGAATTGACTATAAAGTGGGAAATGCAAACTGAATGGATGATCATTTGAGTGGCAGGCAGCTGGAGGAACTCAGACTCATCTGGCCATTGGACAACTTTATTGCCTAGCCCTTGAACCAGCATACAATCGTTTTTTTTTATTATTAAAGGTTATGATTTTTTTTAAATAACGATGTGCAGGGATAAATCATTTTTAACAAACACTGCAAAATTCCACAAAAAAATTATAACTGGCAATTTTGATTTCATGGCGACTTTAACCCTCATCAAAAGTGTGTGTGCTGCAACAGTTTTGATTTTAATTCAATCCCTCCCTTCAAGTGTTTCTGAATTTAGCATTAAAACTGTTTGTTCACGCATTTTTCTTACTGATGAAGTTGCAAGAAACTAAAACATTTTTTCCCTGTAGTCCAACTACAACATTTGTCATGTCATAATAGTCATAATTTAGTTTTACATGGCCATTTTCCAAACTCTTACTGACCCTGTGAATGGAACAGGATGTTCTTGCTACTGTACTGTACCTACTCAGTCTACAATATGTAAAATTACCTTTCTTATAATTAGCTAATCTCTGTTTAGCTAAAGATGTTCATAGTTGAAAGTTTCATTGTGATGTGTTATAAGATGGGTTTTTATTTATTCATTTTATTTTATAGTATTTTTTTATATCCTGGAAGATGTTTTAATTGTATTTCATTATAGCCAAGTGACCTCAAAGTCTTAGTTGGGGATTAGTTTGGGGTGGGTTTGTTCAAAAGATTAAAATGTTGATTCTGTACAGATTTATTGTGTGGTATTCTGAAATACATATGTCTGAGAATCGATAAAAAACTCCTAATATGTAAAAACTGGGTGATCATATGTTAATTTACTCATGGTTGTGGCCTCAGCAGAATGATTGCAGCTTACATCATGTCCAATCCAGGTCAGAATAGTTAGGAATCCAGAAACACATGTTCTGTCCATGCTGAAAGAGAAAATGCTGTGTAATGAAACAAAATTACAACCAGAATATATGTAATGTTTAACATAAGGTTATAAGGAGAGGGATATTCCATCAAAAATCATTGTGGGCAGGGTTATCAGAGTAATGTCGCAGAAAAAACCCAAACGACCATCAAAATGTTGTGACACTTGTCAGGGTCATGGCTGTCAGGACACAGCTTCCATAAATGGTCTGACTGGACTGAGATATATCTAGATTAACCAACAGCAGATACATCCCACAAGCACCAGAAAGAGTCTCTGTTTGTTTGTGTTGACCTGCATGAGGATGCTCCTGTATCTGTACTTCCACTGCAGTCCGAGCTGATCTGGTGTGCACTCAGATGCACTTTACATACTGGGGAGAGAGAGAGAGAGGGGAGACAGGAAGGAGATAATAAGGAGATGGCCGTAGTGGTCATCTGAGAGCAGGAGATTGCTGGGTATGAGAAATGGAACAGGAAGTGAAGGATATAAAAGTCAGCAAGGTCAGAGTTTGGTGTGTGTGTGTCTATGTAATCCATATGCTAGTACTGTATGAGCAAATGAATGAACGAGTGCATCGCTGGTCATGTGATCGTGCGGAAGAGAGCAAGCGAGCGAGCTTCATTCATGTGCCTGTATCCTTTCCTCAGAACAGAGTGTTCCAGCGGTCCTGCAGGAGAGAGCAGTGTACCATGTGACTCCTCTGCGCTGCTCTTCGGCTATGGAGCCTGACAGCTAACCTCCACACACACACACAGCGCAGACATCAAAAGCATTTTCATCAACAGGTCTGCTTGCAATCAGTGCTAATTTACCACGGACCAGCGATCTGGAAAACAAAACTGCATCAAATGAAAGATTCGAAAATAAAACTTCATGCTATTTAGTTCCATGATATTCCAGTATGTTGCGTTTTGCATGATTTTGCAGACGTCATCTCTGAACAATCAAACTTTGGCTGATGCATTAAACAGGCTGCGGTTTAGACAATGAGATGTGAGAGGGGGGCGAAGTCAGAAACAGGGGGTTTCAGTGTCTTAAGCTGGCCCTTTTCTTTGTGATCCATTCATTAGTGGAGTAAACAGGAAATTATGTCACCCTTTTGGTTATCCTCTCCTCACACACAGCTCTTTTTCCCTAAAAAGTCACAGCTCGGAAGACAAGGTAGGGGGGGTCAAAACTTGTACTGCGACTCAGGTGTTCTAGAGGGAGGGAGAGAGAGAGAGAGAGATGATGAGACGGAGAGAGACAGCAGCAAAATGGAAAAGTAAAAGTACAACAGTACACAGACAGAGAGAGAGAGAGAGACAGTAAAAGCTATAATGGAAACAGAAAGTGGCGGAGACAAAGTGGAAAAAGGAGTGGAAAAGAAGAGGGTGATTGGGGTCGTCCTGGTCGGCAGCCAAGGCAAACAGAATGAAGCCAGTTTCCCAGCCCAGGGCTACACCAAACTGTCCCACTACACACACACACACACACACACACACACATACAATCCCAAACACTAACCTCTCCATCCTCAAGCCCAGCCCAGACTGCACACACTGGAGGGAATTTCAAATCTGACTCATCGTGGATGCTGCACACATGAGTTCACAAGCACAACACTCACCATCAGTTAAAAGGGTTCCAGCAGTTTTTGACTGATTCACTTTTGACCAATGACCTTTTAAGTTGTTCATGTATGCTGACAAAGACAGGAGGAAAAAAAGAAGCTGCTTAACAATTTAATGCAAGACAAAAAAAACTTTTGAATTACACAGTGTTGTTATTGTTAACTACATCTAAAACTATTAAAAATAATTTTCGTTAATTGTTCATTTATTTTCCGCAACTAGCAGAAGTTCAAATGCTAAAAATACTAAAGCTGAAATGAATAAATTAAAGCTAAACCGAAAATTAAAAAAATTATAAACTAAATGAAAATGACAAAGGCACAAAACTAAATTTAAACGGGTTATTTCTACAGTGGCATTGCTTTTGTGTGACACTGTATCCACACCAAGTTAAGTCATATTAGCCAGAACAACATATATACAAGAGTATTAAGTGAGCTTTAAACAATTACATTTGTTAGCTTACAAATGTCTCCAATAAGACCCTCAACAAACAGATCCATGTTATATGACATTGGTTTGGGGGCAAGTATTGCTCTATCCAACCAATGCAGTATTTTAGAGCAAAACAAAACTTTCTTACAGATGCTTTTCCATGACTTTCAAAGATTTGACTTTTCTTTCTAAGGTTTTTTATGACTATGTGAGTCCTGAATTGTCTGTTGGACACATCTAAATACTGTAAGCTCAAGCAAGTCAGACCAACAGCTGCTCATCCAATCGGAGGGCAGGGCATCAGGCCCAATGTACACTCTAAAAAATGCTGGGTTGTTTCAACCCAACTTTGGGTCAAATATGGACTAACCCAACCCATTCAGAGTTAAGGCCATGCAAACTGAACTAGTCCTTGTACTAGTTCTGCTTGACTGTTGTACCAGATGTCAGACCCCATGAACTTCACATTTACTTGAGCAGTTATATTTGAGTGGGATTTTGCCACAGAACTCACCTGTTTGTCTAAGTATACATGGCGTAATCAATGAGTAATCAAATATTTGAAGGCTTAAACGCGGCTTAAACGGACATCACATCTTTATTTCAGTGTAAGAACATCTCCCAGGCCAATTGTAGTTCAATTAAAGCATATCCATGATGGACGAAACAGAGCTCCAATCTCATTATCTGACAGTCTGACTTCATAAAAACCAGGCAGGGTCAACTTCAATCAGACTAAAAAACATTTAAATGGCATTGTAAGGTGACAAATTATTGCATTAGTCTGACTGAAATAAAACTTTTAAAATACATATTACAAATTACTGTCTGCCCTTGCATTACTAGTCACCGCAAAATGTTGCTGCTCATTTGCATAAAGTCAAACTTTACTGAACAATCGTATCACCAACAGCCACTATTGCTTGTAACACCAAATCACAAACTTTCATTGAAAATGAGTGACTTTTGCCTGCTGCACATCTCTGTCAGCATGGATACTTATGGATACATATATTGGGAAGCCACAAGGCACTCACTCCTATGTCTTTACAAGCAACAACAAAACTGAAAGAAAGCAGGACAACCTGGTTGAAGTACCCTAGATCCCATAAGAACACCTAGAGCTGCTTCTCACATGGATGTCACATTAACTTTACCTTGAGTTGAGTGAGTGAGTGTGTTTATTTGTACACAGCAGCCCTTGCAGTCCACAAAAAAGCTAAAACACAACACGCTTTCCGAACGTACTGATCAAATAAATAAAACATCACCATAATCTACTCAAACCGAGCATTATGCATCAGGATGGGTGCAAGCATGTGCAGAAAAACCCATCAAACGTAGCAGTCCGGCACGTCAGAGCAGTGCAGTGAGAAATGACGGATACCAATCTGAATGCAGCTGCTTCTCCAGCAGACGCACACAAACACACACGCACGTTCAGTGAAACGCCACACCAGCATCAAACATGGCTCATGAACACGTGCGTAAAGAGGCACACCCACATGCCGGCTTCCACAGACACAGACTGAAGCCACGCCGTGGCCCGCCCATGACGGAGAGAGCCGTCTCTGGAGACACACGACCCGGCGAGCTGACCGACACGCAGGCAGAGACAAGCTACTCACCTCTCTTCTGGACCCAGCCTTCCTTAACGATGGTGACATCGCTCATGTTGCCTCAGTCACACTGTACCCGCCGCTCCTACACACCAGCTCCTGAAGGAGTGAGGAGGGGGAGAAGGAGGAGAGGAGAGGAGGGGAGAGGAGAGGAGGGGGGTCTTGCTTCGCTCTCAAAGGCGTTGTGTAGCGGTTTTCCCCTCCTTCCGTTGCTTTTCTCTCTCACGCTCTCTCCGTGATGCTGTCTCCCTCTCTCTCAAGATCTTCCCACTCCTCAACAGTGACTCAGCCTGAAAGAAACAAAAAAAGAAGCGTGTGGATTTTTCATTCTTCTCTTCCTCTTTACTCCCCCCTTCTTCTTACACAATCTGACAGACAGCCATTGTAAAAGCGGATGTACAAGCCCCGTCGCCTCTCTGATTTCCCTGTCTGTCTGTTTTTCTCTCATTCTCACTCTCAACATGCACAACTATTTAACACTTACCAGCAACACAGACACCTGCAACAAAGTCTGATGAGGACGACTATGAGAATAAATAAGCAAACATGAAGTCTCATGGTAAATGCAATGACGTCTGAAGGAGAGCATTAGGCACTATGAAAATGCATAGTTTCATTCATTAAATCAGAAAGCTCAACAAAATATATTGTGTATGTACTGTACACTAGTGCTGTCAGTCAATTAAAATATACTTAATCATAATTAATCTGTTTCTTTGTAGTTAACCCACTTTCAAAGTGAAGAAAACAATGTGTAATTAATAGTGTTATTATTGTGTGTACTGGATTATTTATGTGCATTCATATCGGAATATGTGTGTGTGTGTGTGTGTGTGTGTGTGTGTGTGTGTGTGTGTGTGTGTGTGTGTGTAGACACTAGAAAGAGGGAAACTTCTGCAAAAGTGCCTTTTACCCATCACTCTCGGACAAAAAAAATATAGATGCGCATATTGCATGCTAACACATATTTAATGCTAACATAACTTACAAAATAACTTTACATATGGAATTGCATGAGTAAAGCTAGAATTATGCAATTGAACAGATGAGATTTGAGGTGAAGGGCAAGATTATCAGTAAATAATGGCTTAAATTCTGGTTCCTCACACGAAACTATTCTGACTTAAGATGACGTAATATTGTGAAATAGTATTACAATATAACTACTTTCTATTGCTTATTGCCCTTTTTAGAGCTTGACATATTAAAATCACCTTTCATAGAATCATTTTAAAAAATCAATACAAGGTTAGAACAACATGGAATGAGCAAACGATGGCAAATCTTTCATTCTTGAGTGGACTATCATTTTAAGAAGTTGCTAATGAGTAATAACTGACATCTTAAGATATCAGATTGAAAAAAACTGTGAAAGCTGAATCATTTTTAGAATGAGGAAAAGGACTTCAAATTACAACATTGATAAATGTGGCAGAATGCCAACACTTACTATCATCCAAGAGAAAGACAGAAAGAAAGAGATGGAATAAATAACTACAATTATCATGTGAATACTACAAATGAGTCCTAAAAAGTCTTAAAGCAGTCTCAAAAATGTGGCAGATAGCACAGCACGTACGTAAATCTGAAGCATTACATCAAAGCAGTTTCATCTACGCTGCACAGTGACAGTTTTAGAAAAACACAAAGCAAAATATGTCCCTCTGACAGAGAAGTCAAGCAATAAAATAAATATACAGTGAGAAATATGAGATGTTTGAGGAGATATTTGCCTGCATTTCCTTACCTTTAAAATGCTAAAGTACATTTAAAAGGATGTTAATCAAAATGTTTTGTTTTTGCAGAAGCAGTCCTACGTGTCAAATCCAAGCATTCAAATGTGTGCGAGCAGAGAAAAGGGAAGTCAGCATGTTAGGATCACTAACAGGGTAAACCTCCAACGGCTAAACAGATCAGCTCAGAATGAAAGAGTGAATCAAAGAGCGAAAGAGTGAAACCATTAGTCTTTACCTGAACTAAATCAGAATGTGCCAACATTTGACAACCATACTCAACCATAAAGTAAGAAATCACTCAACATATTTGTTACCAGTGAAGCGTGAACCGTGATAAACAGAAATCTGAATGCACAATTGTGATGCAGTGTTGTGTCCTCTATAACAGAAAGACAAATGACTGAAAGGCTCCTATTTTCCCTTCGGAGATAATTAACAAATTATGTTTGTTGCAGACTTTTGGACACTGTGCTAGAAGACATCACAGCTACTGAGTAGACTGCAGCCCGTAAAGATACAAAGACCAACGCAGCTCCCTCAATGTCATATAGGGCCAATAAAGAAAATGACCTGCAGGGCTCCCTCGTAACATTTTTTTTTTTTTTACAGCAAATCACATGTGGGTCAGACAAGGAATATTTAGCATCCTTTAGTCATTCAGTAAAGGCAAATGAAGGGCCTCTTGAGGCCAGAGTATTTACAGTACCAACTGATAATTCCTGGTTGTGTGCATTTAGCTGCAACCTTAATCTGCTGTGAATATGGTAAGGAGAGTACATGGGTGATTCAAGGTCCAAAGACATATCAGTGAAGCCCTTAATCATTTAACACAAGCAGGAAACCCTGAACGTGACTCACCTTGGAACCTTGGAAGACCCTGCTTGTCACTAAAGCAAGAAAAAATCCCCTTCATTTAATCCATAGAGAAATTGATTTTTAACGTTAATGAATAAACCTTTCAAGACAGACCTACCTTAAATTCTGAGGAGGTTAAGCAATGACATGCTACTGTAGAAACCATAAGTCAGTGTCATTACAACAACACTGTGTTTAATAAAAACACAGCTCACAGCATCCAGCATTTGGAGTCTTGTTCTACTATTTTTTAAAGCAGTCATCTGTCTGATTAGTTTTCTGACAAGACACTCAAGAGTGAGTACCACACCATAAAGAATCAGCAACAGACTTCAGATAATACTGTGCTTTAACCTCACTTTAACACCTTACCAATAAACCTATTTGTAAATATTTGAACACAAGCGAATTAAAGTGAATTAAAAGACTAAACTTCTCAGACAGGTTTTTAACATGCTGACTGCTAAAGTACAGCCAGCTGCCTGCATCTCATAATTACTTGACAATTGTTTCTCATTTTAAATGCACTACCACTAAAAGTTATCAAATTACACTCAAACTACTTACATGTAATCTGGATATTTAGAATAATATTATATATATATATATATATATATATATGTAACATATAAAATAATGCTTCATGAGATGAGATCATTGCCTCATTTTTTTATTTCCTGTATTATTTTGGCTTCAAATCAAACTAGAACATGAAAGGGAAAAATACTTCAAGACAGATTAAGGCTGCTGAAAAAGTTGGCCGCCATTGTTGCTCTCTATTGGATTTTTATGGTTCCCAGGGTATATTTAAACTTTAAGAAATTAAAAGTATTTTTGGTGTTAAGGAATAGAAAGTTTATGTTTGATTGGGCCAAAGGAAATGTATATTGTTTGGCCTCTATGGGGGTGATAAATATTTCATGCAAACAAATCAAATATAACACCGAGGTCTGATATAGAATGTAATGACGCACATTTACATGAAATTCCACAGTGAAAAACTGGGAAATCTAAAAAAATTTAATAAAATAGGAACCCACAAGTCTGAGTTGGACCAAGCTGCCTCAAAAGTTGCGATAAAGCAAAAGACACAAGACGCTAAACAAGAGGAACGATGTGTTTCAGCCCCATTAAATGGTCATTTTCAATAGGGCTGTTGAGCTATTCTACCTTACCAACCAAGCCCCAACATCATCTATATTCTGGCAGCAGCACAGACTCTCTGTTCCTTTCGCTCCCTTTGAGTGACAGGAGACACAATTCCACTGCGTCACTGTCGCAGTCAAGCATCTGTAAGCCTATCACCGCAGCACTATCTGGGGATGTCCTGAAGCTGCCACACCAAATACAATTTTTCCATACAAATGAGGGGAGCACCCTTGAGATAATCATTTAATTCCTGAGCAGGCCTGGGAAGGAGGGGCTCTCCTGGTGAGCCCAGACAAACACAGACACGCAGCATCAATCATTCTCAGCGTGCCACAGAGCAACGTCTAAACATCCGCCACAAGCCTTCAATGCAGAATGTACATTTATTTATATTGAACTATTCTCAGATGTATTGGCGCCATACCCACTACTAATGAACAAACTGGGAAAGGCAAATAAGCCCACATTTTCATGGTAGTATCATTCTGAATTGTTAGAAAAAGAACAATGTGACTGCTTATGGTAGTAGAGATGGACTC